AAATCTGCAAAGGGCGTCTTGAAACCAAATGAGGTCTCAAGTTGAAAACTCGCAAAGGGCGACTTGAGTTTTATTTAAATTCACAATTCGTGCATGGTGGAGGTTCTAAATTGATTTTGGAAGTAGAAGGAGCTCTTGATATGGATAGTAACAATGAAAGTTGGTGATCAGGGTTGAGACTAAAGATTAATGAGTCTCGATTGAAACAACCAAGAGAGAAATTGAATGCACATGAGATTCAATATTGGTTTAGGGCATCCAATGATGGAGATTTGGGAGTTTAGAAGTAGCTTCACACTCTTAAGCATCATTATAATTTTGGAGATCCTTTCGATAGAAGCTACACTCGAGTCATTCTAACGGCGTGCCAGTTCAAAAGCATTTGCATTATTGATATTTGAAGATGCCTACTCTTTTGTTCTTTTGCTTTTCTCAGTTAAAAGTTTTCCATGTAGTTACCTAAAAATTCTCTGCATTATATAAATAAAGAGATGTCTTTTCTTGTTAATTTCCCTTTTGTAAACATCTTATTTTGAAAAGTTAAAACATATAGCTTAACTTGAAGTACATAAGATCATTTTGTATTATTTTGCAAAAGGTTTTGGAAAATGCAGGTATTCTAAAGTTGACAATGGTTTAAACATGTAAGCTTGTGTGGCTACAGGAAACTACCTTGGAGTTCATAGAAAATCTCGGCCATTAAAAGATGACCCAAGGAGATTGTCATTTATCAAGAAGTTGGTCATGGGTACTAGTGGGTTTAAGAAAGAAAGAAGTCAAGGTCATGTTAAACCGAAGGATATGGTATTGAGATTGTCAACTGGGGTAAACTGGTCAAATGTTCTGTGCCCAAGACGAAACCGAGTTCCATCGAGATCAAAATGAGATGGTGTTCTTTCGAAGAAGAAAATGCATTAAATTACATAATTGTATATATTTTAGGCATGAATAGGATCATGTCATTCATAATTGCCTGATGACTTAAGCATTTACAAGTTTCCCAAAGATAATTGAATATTGAAGATATTGAAGCATTGAGATGAAGATAACTAGTTTTGAGATCTTGAAAAGAATGATGTTTAGACGAAAACTGAGCCAAAGTAGATTCACATATCCAATGGCTTCTAGACAAGTTTTCACGATGGAGATGGATTTTCAGAAATTTTCTCAAATTCTAAAATTTTGAGTATAATATTTTTCAAACATACATTAATGATTGGTAATGTTTGATTTTTCAGGTTTGGCCTTCGAAATAAGTTAATCTTAAACCTTCACGAAAAAGCAGTGAAGTAATTCAAACTTAAGCCTTCACGGAAGAGTAGTGAAGCAATTCAAACTTAAGCCTTCACGGAAGAGTAGTGAAGCAAATCATCTATAAGCCTTCAAGGAAGAGTAGTGAAGCAAACTCGTTTGTTGAAGATTGAGTCATGTACTCTCTGAATGAATAGAGAGCGGACCTGTTTGTTGAAGATTGTTCGAGTTTTATACTCTCTGAAGGAATAGAGAGCGGACCCGTTTTATGAAGATTGTTCGAGTTCTATACTCTCTGAAGGAATAGAGAGCGGACCAGTTTGTTGAAGATTGTTCGAATTCTATACTCTCCGAAGGAATAGAGAGCATACCCGTTTTATGAACATTGTTCGAGTTCTATATTCCCTGAACGGATAGGGAGCGGACCCATTTATTGAAGATTGTTCGAGTCTTATACTCCCTGAATGAATAGGGAGCAGACGTTTGCCAAAGATTGTTCGAGTCTTACACTCCCTGAAAGAATAGGGAGCAGACCCGTCATTTGAAGATTTTTCCTGAAGTAACAAAGAGGTGGATTAATCTTTTGAAGTTCTAATGGTCGGACAAACTTGATCATCTATTGATCTTTGCTCTATTCTTGTTGCACGACAATGAGCAAAGAGGGGCAGCTATAGATGCTCGTTTTGTCTGGGCTTATAGCATATTAGATAAGTCGAATCGAGCCCAATATGATATTTAACCCAACTCGTGCTCAGTTGGATTAAGCCACTAAGACAAACAGTTTTAAGCAGGAAAAGAGAGGGAACAGTTTGTAGAGAGTGGGGGTTTTTAATTTTTGATTAACCACTGGAAACGGGGGATAACACAACAACAACAACAAATTAACTGAGAGAACGGGAGCGAGGATTAGAGCCGAGAGAGACCATTACGGGAAGAACAGAGATTTTATTTGTTTTTTTAAACACAATAGATCAAAGAGAAAAGAACAATGGTGTAAAAAATTTCTTTCCCATATTCAAAAATCAAACTGTGTTGTCACAAAGGGATTTCTTGGCCCTGGTTCGTTGGAAGCAAGACATAGAAACAAGTCAATTGTTTTTAGCATTCGAGTATAAGTAAGTAAATTTCCAAGGTTCTTCTCCAATTCTTCTTCTGAAACTTTAATTTTTTTTTGTTCCTTATTTGAAACTAGCAGAAATGTAAAGGAGATAGTTTAAATGTTTACCTTAGTTACGATTCATCTCGTTTTGCTTCAGAATTGTTCGAATTTACGCTATCAAAACAAAAGGGTTGTGTTAATTAGAAATGAGTTCATTAATAAGTTAGAAGAAAGAGGGGTTTCAGGTTACCTTAGTAGTTGGGGTCGTAACACCAGAGAGGGGAGATATCGAAGAGAGAGTGAGGCCGAAAGGTAAGACCTATTTTGAATTTGTTTTTTCAAATTTTTAGCGCGATTTACACCTAAGGTTGGAGGCTAGCATGGCGAGATAAGGGTTGTAAGTAGTTCGTGGTTGTCAGTTTAGGTCACCAGATCGACGAGTAATGGTCGGCGTAAAGAGCTATGAAGCTCTCGGTCGACAACGAAAGGGAAAGGGGTGGAAGGAGATGAACTTGAGCGGATGGGTATATTATGCTTGAAATTAGGCTAGTTTAGTAGTTTACTTAGGTTATATATTAATTTGTTTTGGGTAAATTACCTTTTAGTCACCGTAGTTGTTAGGGTAAATTATGCTTAGGTCCTCGAAATTTAGGTGCATTCTTTTAAAAAAGTTCTGTATTTGTTTTAATTTTCTGATTTTTTCGAATGTGTAGGCATTATTTATGTAATTTTTCATATTATGTTAGCTTGAGCCAAATAGGATAAATTCTATATTTTGGTCACTGATTTAGTATTTTATGTTTTGGTCACTGATTTATTTCTGATTTATAAATTTAATTTTATGTACATTTAAATTTAGTCATTACATTTATGTATATGTACACTTTTTAAATTTATAGTTTAGCATGTTATGATTTTGTTTTTCTATTTAGGTCACATGTGTACATAATATGTCAATATGCATAATTTATATTTTTAATTAAAACATACATATGTATATAATTGTATTTGTATGTCATGTTGTATGATATTTTTAATTTTGTTTAATTAATTTTGGCATGACATCCACTTTTTGCATAATTTGCATGATAGTCTCACGTGCATAACTCGACCTATTACATAATTGGACTAAGGGTAATACCCTTTTAATTTAAAATTGTCTTGAGTGGCCTATCTTAACTGATTAGAAGGTCGTTATGACCATTTTAAATTAAAAGTGTATCCCGAAAGTGAAACCTAAAAAATCGATTCGTCACTTAAAATTTGGGGAACGAAAGAAAAGAAAATGTTCGATAATTTAAATTTTTCGAGAAAAGGTTGTTAAAACTTATCTAAGATCTGGTCTCGATATTTTTAAATAACCGAACATTCCTTATCTTTGTAAAACAATTCGGTAATTTTAATTTAATTTATTTGGGTGCATTTGAATATTATAATGAAATTTTAATATTATATTATTTTGATTTGAGTAGGAATTAATTTTCTTAAGTACTGATAAATTATTCCTTCTCGATATGAAATAATTTAATATTACTACATTTCATTGTAAAATTCACATTTTTTTCTGGATCATAAATCAAATCAAATTCGAATTTGTAAAGTTCAATGCAAAGACATTAATTAATCGACTAGGTACCATATTAGGGCGTTGTGGGGGTGCTATTCCCCGCACGTAACCGACTCCCGAACTCAGATTTTGGTAACGCATACCTTAATTTGTTGTTTTAATTAAAATTAATTTTTATTTAAAATAACAAACATATTTGGGTGCCCAATCACACCCTAATAAAAGATTGGTGACGACTCTTTGAATCGTATTTTTTCGATCGTAAAGGAAATTCAAAAATTTTCGAAACGAGAGGTTTTTAAATCATATTTGTTTTTAAATTAAAATCAATTGAAAAAGGTATATTAAAAAATAATGTGGTTTTTTTAAAATCTCGCTTTTTCACCTTTAAAGGAAAAATCGTTTCGACAATATTTTCTTTAAAAAATTTAAATTCATAAAATTTATATATTTTTTTACAAAATTGAAAATATAAAAAAGTTTAATGAAAGGGTAAAATTTTATTTTAACCCCTGAACTTCATATAAAATTTTAATTATAGATTTTTTTTTGTAAATTTAAAATAGTTTAAGTATAAATTTGTAATTTAACATTTCGTTAGAATTTTTATTATTCAATGACAAAATAAGGATATTTTTGAGAAAAAAATTAAGGGCATTTTAGTCCAAAATCTTTAATCCAAAATACCTAAGGAAATGAGGTAATGACATTCCCGGTAATATATCCAAAAAAATCTACTATTAGTAATAAAACATTACTGGAATGAGATTTCCGACCAACCAAACATGAGAATGTGGATTACATTCCCATGTGAATCCTAGTGGAATCCACATTCCCTGACCAAACAGAAAAAAAACTATCCTTTAGTAGAGGGGTAAATTTGTTCGTTGACAACTTCTAATGAATCAATCCCTAAACATGGACAACCAGTTCACTTAAAATAACCCTTTAATATTTGCATTACTGATAATCCCACTAATGTAAATTAATAGGGAATTTTAAATACGATAAAAGAGTAACAACGAAATTAATCGTTTAAATATTAGTCAACGTATCTAGAACTAATACATGGTTCAATTTGTTCTTTCATCAATTGCCTAAAACTGGTGTACTGAAGGCTAGTTGCTCAACTTATATGTTTAAATAAACGATATAATTTGCAGCATGCCAGCTTTGGGCTTTCAGTGGATGGAAGGATTATTACATCTTTTACTAGGAAATGTAGCATCTATTCTTCTCCATATTGCAGACAGGTATTGTAGATACCTTTTAGGGCAATTTCATGAAACAATTTAATTGAGTTCGAGTTCGAGTTTAGGTTCGTATACACGGCATTCTTAAAAAATCTAGCAATTTAGCATTTCTAACTTGGAACTTTCATCAGGTTGATACCAACTTCAACGTTTGGGTCCTCGCCTCGAATAAAGACCATGATGCAACTCATCAATTGCCTGAGATTGGCGAAGATGATCCATCGGTAAGTCTCCGAACTCTAATCTCTTCGTTTCGTAGTCGGTGCGAATGTGATGAATATAACTCACACATTAGAACTCTACTCAATATATCAATCATATGTGATTATGCAGGTTATCTATGTGAAACCAGGATATGAAGCCAACTTGGATTCACTGATACAGGACACAATCCGGCTAATAACCTCCACCAAGGTATACATACTGAAAACTAATCTAATTATCCGGATTTCAACAAATATCGATTTTGCATTCGAGTAAAATACGTGTATAAATCTACGATTTTTTCCATCATAGGACATTTGCTCGGAAGCATGCCGGAAATCTGAACCCACCCTGCGTTGTAAGTACTTTTTTTTAATAGTTGGACAAGTTTTTCAGATGATAACTTACTAAAGAAAATGTGTTAGGACAGATATTGGTAAGGAATGCAGCTTCCATCGACAAGAGGTGGTGTAGATTGTTGGAACTAAGGAATGCAAATATGTATAATAAAAAATTTTAGATTATTTATAGAATGGTTTAATGAAACTCTCTATCTATCATGATAGTTGTATATATTGTATTATATTTATATGAAATTTGATATAATCATATATCATCTTGGTGTTATTACTTTCATTTCATCAACATTTTAAATTATTATGGTAAAAATTTCTTAACTACCTATAAACTCGCGACCGAATTAAGACTCAATCGATTTATTTATATGTTTGATGATCGAAAAAGCGAACCAAAGAGACCACAAGTCTAATGCAAAGATTCACAGCACCAAAGCTTGAAATTCATCTAAAGATGAATACACCACCGAGCTCGTTTAATGAATTCAGCATATCTGCTCTAAGATAAAATTTGATTACAATGAATCTAAGATAAAATTTGTTTATTACTTTACACCAAAACTCTATTTATACAATGGACAGAGCCTTTAACTAACAGACTAACAACTCTTTTAACAGACTACAAGGCAACCAACTGACAAAGCTAAACTGCTAGCTAACCCTCTATCTCCAATATTCCCCCCGTCTTCTGAAAGAAAAAAACAGTCTTTTATGTATCAGGCTGAACACATACTTTACTACGAAACAACTCGAATGTTGCTTTGGCCAGACGTTTGGTTAGGCCATCGGCCAACTGATATGAAGCAGGAACATAATTAACACGCAAGAGTTTAGCAGTAACTTTTTCACGAACGAAATGCATGTCCAGATCTACATGTTTGGTGTGTGCGTGATATACAAAATTCGCACTTAAGGCGACAAGACTGGTGTTATCAGTCCAAATGGTTGGGACTTCATGCAACAATACATCCATGTCTACGAGTAACTTAGCAATCCAAGTTACTTCAGCTGTGACGTATACTATACTCCTATATTTGGCTTCCATGGTCGATCGAGAGACTGTTTTTTGTTTCTTGGAGTTCCAAGTCACCAGGAAGCTTCCAACAAACACCCCATGACCTGATTTGGACCTACGATCATCAATGTCAACCCCCAATCTGCATTAGAGAACTCCATAACCTTGAGCCTCGAGGTTGTTGGAGCAAACCTCAGTCTATAACCTAGGGTTCCTGCTAGATACCGTAATATACATTTCACCGCGCTCATATGTCGAATGCATAGCGCATGCATGAATTGTGTAACTTTGTTCATGCTGAATATTATGTCCGGACGAGTATGAAAACATATAATAGGCTGCCCACATGCTACGATATTCTTGAGCATCCTGCAATTGCTCCCCCATATCACGAGTCAGTTTGTGTGACACAATCATTGGAGTGGGAACTGGCGAGGCTTGTAGCGTATGAGTCTTGGCAAGAAGTTCAAGTACAAACTTTCTTTGGTTGAGCATCAAACCACAAGCATCCCTCTTAACTTCAATACCTAGAAAGTAACCCAAATCCCATAAGTCTTTCAAAGAAAAATTTTTCATTGAGTAAGCGAATAACTCTCTCAATCTTTTCACCCGACTGTCTAGTAATTATGATGTTGTCGACATACACGAGCACATATGTATGGACACCATCTTTGTTTAACACAAACAAGGATGCATATGCTTTTGATTAAACAAAACCAAGTTGCAACAAACTACCCCCGAGCTTAGCATACCAGTTCTTAGGAGCCTATCGAAGACCATAAAGAGACTTTCATAGTTTGCAAACAATTTTGGTTCCATCTGAAGCACACTGTTCAAAACCAGGGGTTGATGCATAAAGATGTCATCATCTAACTCACCATTGAGAAACATATTATTGACATCAACTTGCCTCAATGTCCACCCCTTGGTTACAGCAAGAGACAAAATGACATTTATCATAGCAAATTTTACAACTGGGCTGAACGTTTCATTGAAATACTAACCTGCGACTTGAGAGTACCCTTTTACTACAAGGCGTGCCTTGTACCTGTGAATTGTGCCATCCGAATTGTGTTTAAGTTTAAATAGCCACTTGCACCCAACCATATCCTATTGGGAAATAAAACGAGTAACAAGTAATTTCCCTATAACCAGATTAGTGAGAATGCAAAATAAAAGCGGAAAAATAATACCCGAAATTGATAACGAAGTTCAGCCAATTTGCTTACGTCTCCGGACTGCTGCAGATCTTTTACTAAGAGAGAAAATTTACAGGTGTTTATAAAACACTCACAAGAAAGCTCTCTAGTATTGAGAGAAATAAATGATTTTTGGGATGATTTTGAAGCTAAATGAGATAGGGTATTTATAGTTGAAGGTTAAGGACTAATCTTATAAATACCCTAAAGTCCAGTGTCTAATAATAATTATCCCATTGCAATTTTTCAACAAACATCTACCAAACTTTGAAAAACCATTTTTCAAAGAAACATTTACCAAACTTAGAAAACCATTTTCAAAGAAACATTTACCAAACTTTGAAAACCATTTTTTCAAAGTTGGTTGCCAAACTTTGAACTTTTAACAATCTCCCACTTGAAGACTGATTTTAATCTGTCTTTACACCTCGATCAATGCAACAAATTTTCTAGTCTTGTTACTCTAGCATGCCAACTGAAGTTGAACACAACTTCAGTTTGTCCGTAGTCACCGTCTTTGTCAACATGTCTGCTGGATTTTGAGCTCCACTAATCTTTTCAAGTTTCAAAATCCCATCTTCCAGAAGAGACCGAATAAAATGATATCTCAATTGTATGTGCTTCGTCCTGGAATGAAAAGATGGATTCTTTGCTAGATGTATAGCACTTTGACTGTCGCAATACAAGATATTGTTTTCTTGTTTCTTTCCTAACTCTTCCAAGAAACTTTGGAGTCAAATCATCTTCTTGTTGGCTTCCATAACAGTGACATATTCTGCTTCAGTTATGGAGAGAGCAACTATCTTCTGTAGTTGAGAAACCCAACTCACTGTAGTTCCTCCTAGAGTATAGACATACCATGTAGTGCTTCTTCTAATGTCGACATTTCCGGCTAAGTCAGCATCTACATAGCATGTTAGTATCGTATCTCCACCTTTGAAACAAAGTGATTTGTTTGTGGTACCCCGTAGTTATCTGAGGATCCATTTGACTGCTTCCCAGTGTACATTACCTGGATTATTCATGTACCTGCTAACAGCTCCCACTGCATGAGCAATATCTGGTATGGTACAAACCATGGCATATATCAGACTTCCAATTGCTGAGGCATATGGAACCTTCACCATGTGTGCATGTTTTTCCTCTGTCTTTGGTGACTTTTCTTTAGAGAGTCTAAAATAAACAGCTAAAGGTGTACTTACTGGTTTAGCATCTTGCATGTTGAACCTAGAGAGTACTTTGTTGATGTGCTCAGTCTATGATAACATCAAAGTCCCCGACTTTGTATCTCTCTTTATCCTCATCCCAAGAATTTGCTTTGCAGCGCCCAGATCCTTCATAGCAAACTGCTTCGACAATTCTTGCTTCAAATTTATAATCTCTTGCATGTCTGAGCATGCAACGAGCATGTCATCAACATACAACAATAAAATAATGAAGCTTTTGTCGAACCTCTTGATGTAGCAACAATGATCTGCTTGGCATCTGGTAAAACCACTGCTACTCATGAAACTATCGAACTTCTTGTACCACTGTCTAGAAGCTTCATTTAAACCATACAAGCTCTTCTTCAACCTGCATACTAGGTTTTTCTTGCCTACCTCTATGAAGCCTTCTGGCTGCCTCATATAGATTTCTTCCTCCAAATCACCATGAAGGAAAGCTGTCTTTACATCTAACTGCTCAAGATGTAAATTCTCTGCAGCTATAATTTTCAACACCAGTCTGATTGTAGACAGTTTTACGACTGGAGAGAAAATTTCATTATAGTCAATACCTTCTTTTTACTGAAAAACTTTGACAACCAATCTTTATTTGTAGCGTTTACTCCCATCGTGCTCTTCTTTGATCCTGTAAATCCACTTGTTATGGAGCGCTTTTTTGCCTGATGGTAATTCAGCTAATTCCCACGTCTGATTTGACATAAGCGAGTCCATCTCATCTTTCATGGAAGACTCCCATTTGATCAAATCCTCCACTTGCATTGCTTCATCATAGCACTCTGGTTCACCATTGTCAGTCAGCAACAAGTAGTGCAAAGAAGGCGAATAACGCTGAGTTGGTTTAGGAATTCTAGAGGAGAGTCTTAGTTCTGGTGTGCCTGGTTCTTCTTGAACTGCTTTAGGACTGATCTGAACCTCATTTCCAGAAATCTCCTCGAATTCAACAAATTCCTTTGTTTCAGCTTCGATATTTGAGTTACTTGATTCTACAGTTGACATGTCTTTATACATCACATTGTCTTTCATAGTCCCAAAATCTGTAACCGAACTCATCATCGCCATAACCAACAAATGCACATTTATTGGACTTAGCATCAAGTTTACTTCTTTCAGCAGAATCTATGTGTACATAAGAAATACAACCAAACACTCTTAAGTGTGAAAGATTTATTTCTTTCTTGCTCCAAACTTCCTTGGTATTTTGCCATCCAAATGAACTGAGGGCCCACATTTGATCAGGTAAGTTGCAGTGTTGATAGCTTCAGCCCATAGAAATTTAGGCAATCTGGCATGTATCCTCATGCTTCTGGCACGTTCATTCAGAGTTTTATTCATGTGCTCTGCTACGCCATTCTGTTGCGGTGTCATGGGAACTGTTGTCTTCATCTTAATCCCATTGTTTGCGTAGAAATCTCTGAATCTACGATTTCTGTACTCTCCTCCATTGTCAGACCTCGACCGCTTAACTTTCAGACCATTCTCATTTTCCACCATGGCCTTCCATTTTCTGAAGTGAAGGTATCAAAGACTTCTGATTTCTTCTTCAGAAAATAAACCCACACCTTCCTTGTAGAATCATCAATGAAAGTGACATAATATAATGAGCCTGCAAGAGATGGAATGGAGATGGTCCCCATACATCAGTAT